AGACATGTCACTCAAAGATTAATAAATAAATAAATGACTTGGAAATGAATTTTATTGACTTACCCAATAAACTTTCCTAGTTCAATGCTTTAAAGATAAGTCAAAAGCTTTAAATGGGTCTATTTAAGAACTAATCCCATTGGAATTTCATAGTTTTTATCCATTAAACAGTTGCCACTATCAAACTATTAGTCCCCAAACCCCACAAATCTTTTTGCTGTTTTGTCCCCTGCAAGCAATTAGCGGCCAAAACACATCGAATGGCAAATGCAGAATAAATATTTTCGTAAATAGACAAATAGCACACACAATAGGCGCAAATATTTGGCAAAGTTCGAAAACAAAAAAAATAGAGGCTGGGACTTTAAATAGTCAAAGTTGCGATGGGAAAATCGATAGATGACCCCGCAGATGCGGCCAAATAAAATGCTGGATAAACAAATTCAAACAGTTACAAAGCCAATTTAGAATAGCCTCGCCGCCCTTGGCTATTTGGCTGGCTTGATTGAGCCATGTCCGCTGGCCATATCCGCATATCCGTGTGCTATGGCACGAGGTTTTTAATCATGCACGTATTTTGAAGCTTTTCCGCTTTTCCGCTTTCCAGCCACGAACGCCATAAATATCCATCAATATGTGAGTAAGCGCCTTTCGGCTTTCCCCTACACCATACCCCCTCTCCATGAACTATGAACTCCTCTATGAGCAGCAGAGGTGAATTGACTGGAAAAAAGGAAAAATAAAAAGCCGATCATTAATAAATTTATGCGGATGAAAGCCACAGTAAAGCATTCACAGCAGAGTTAGCCATCCACACTTTGCAATAGTATAAAACTCACTACTAGCTTTTTTTTGTTCATGTCTTTTATTCTCACCACCGCTTGTCTCGAGAGTCAGAAACCAAGTCTTTTTTCAAGTCTTGTTCATCCTCGCTCGCGCTTGTCCGTGAGCGAGATGCATGTATATACAAACGATCTCTTAAGGCTAACTTACATGGTAGAAAGAGATAACAGTATATATGGATAATATTTACAGTTAAGTTGTTTCTTATTTTGTCTTACGGTGGATCTTATACCTATACCCTACGCTAAAAGTTATACAGTGGGCCTTAATATTACTTGTCCTAACACAACTTATTTCATAAATTGTGAATCAGTTTTTATTAAATTATTATATTAAGCAGTGCTAGATTTTAGTCTAGTTTGCTTTTTGCTTTTGATTTTCATTTGAATAATAATTCTGGCTAATTATCATTGTTTTGTGGGGTTAGTTTAAGTTTATTTTTAAATATTCCCTTGAGTATCAAAATTGAACAGAAAGAGATATAACATCCGGGCTTACAGCCTAACAGAAACTTAACATCAAGGGCTCACAGCTTAACAGTGATTTAACATTAAGGGCTTAGAACTACCGCGGGAGCAGTTCACTATTTGTCACAACCATTTGTTAAATTTAAATAAATAAATGCTACAAATACTAAAATATTTACTGAGACTCTCAACAAGTTTGAATAAGCCAGCAAAGCAGAGCGTGTGCTACTTCATTATTTCTTCAAAATACATGTTTTCCAGAGCAATAAAATCACTACTCCCACAACCTCTCATTTGTTAAGCAATTCCTTTTATTTATGATAAAACCACCAACCAAATCCCACCGAAATTTCGTGTTACTCTTACCTTTACCTTACCACACACTTTGGCCGAGACTGCTCTACTTTGGCTGCAGCTTTATTATTCACTTTGTACATCTCAGTCTGGCTCAAAGACTTAACCCTATTCCATGAGCCCTGCTCAAATAGCCCCGGGCAGAGCCCAAACAAATAAAAAACAGGGAAAATAAACACACACAAAAAAGGATAAGCGCGAAGTAGGAAAAAAAAGTGTTAACAAGCAGCATATAAATTATTAATTAAGTCGCCCAGTCTGTGCAATTTGCTTTATTAAATGAAATGCAACTGCAAAAACAAGCTTTGCCTGGACAAAAAAAAATTTATATTCTCTGACATTTGACATAAATTTCATTTATAAACCCTGTGAATTGGTCTCTTGCAGAGGCCTAATTATTTAATCAATATATGCCCATAAATATTGCACACACACAGAGAGAGCTCTCTTTCAGGGAAAAGGGAAAAGATTCCTATGTACATGTTAGTGTTTGTGTGGCCCCAATTGGTTCAATTAGTGAAAGTAAAACAAAAGTTAAAGTTCCCACAATGCTAAACTGCCCGGGCAACCATATTTCAGCCTGGATCCCTATAATTACAATGAAGAGGGCGTCGAACATTATAATTAAAGGTAAACAGCCAAGTTGGACAGTTCCTGAAAGACCCAACACCTGGCAGGGACCTAAAGATATATAATTCAAATTATTTAAGAGTTTGTTGAAGAAAGAAGTTGTTCTTTATATAAGTCCCCAAACTTAAGTTCTCATACATTACCAATCCGACATATAAACTAAAATCAGCATTTAACTATATATTCAGGTTGACTTTATCCATTTACTATACTTAGAAAGAAATACAAATGAGTTGGCATTTCATGTGAAATGCTATCAGGCCAGCCTAAATCTTAAGCCTCAGTTGGGGGCGAATCCTTGTGGCAGGTTTGTAAATCGTTTTGCTGGCATAAGGCCTCCACTATCTTTATACAATTATAACAAAAGCGCGACCTTTATACACATGTCCCTCAGTTCGAGCCCTTTCTATTCAACTCCAACTCCAAGTCCTGGCTGTAAGTTTACCTGGAAAAACGTTTCGAGGCAAAACTTGGGCACTAAATATGCGTGCGTGCCTTGGTATGCTTTTTCTCTTTTTTTTTTTTTTTATCGATTTGCATATCTAAATTTAGTCAGGCGACATATAATGCCATACGATATACACACTGTGTATGTTAGCATGCATATAGTAGTAGGTTTATTATATACCAGGGAGTCAGGGAGTCAGGGAGCCCAGCCACAGGCACTAATAAATATTGCATTGTGATACTGGGAATGGAGTCCATTCAGTTTGAGGAGTCGTGGCCATCGTAATTAAAGTTCTTCCACCATCTGCCCTATGTCTATGCCTTGGGGCTACAATTAGATTTTGGTGTTAGGCGGTACAGTCTATACACATGCATACTTACACTGGGAAAAAAGGAAGTAAGTTCTAAGAAAAACAATGTGTAACCTGACTATGGCAATCCTGTGATTGGAAATAACTATTTTCCATATTTCCTTAATCAAAAACCATTAATCGAAAATCATATTAAGCAACCTAACACGCTAAAGACTAACCCCCAAAACTCTTTCTAATTATTTGATTTTTTGTACTTGATTAAACTGCCCAGGCACATTTCCAAGTGCACGTGAAAACACGACCACAGATTGGCCGGCAAATGCCTTGGTCACCTTGAACCGTTGCCGTCGCCTAAGGGAGACAGTGGAATATGGCCACGACATCGCAGGTTACAGGACGCAGGACGCGAGACGGGGGCCATGATAAATGAGCTACGTTAACTCATGTGGCAAATGTGACATGTGCTCCGGCATTTTTATTCTTTGTGTACCTGGGCTTGTGTGTGCTGATTGCCATGTGAGTCCGTGGAGAGACAAGCGCTAAAATTACCATATTACAGTCCCCAATCCCCCGCAGGTCGGTAGCCGCCGCCCAGTAGTCTTGGCCCAGATCAGACCATGGAATATCCATTCAAGCGAACAAACTGGACCTCTCCCAAATCTGCCCCCCCCCAAAAAAGTCTGAAGTCCAGAGAAGGCTAATAGGTCAGTTTAGTTGGCCGTAGCATGTGAATTATGGTTAATTTTGGCTGCCACATTGCGGAAGTTATTAACTCGTTTGATTGAACTTGGCCGTAAGTGATTTAGGACGTGTGGCCATGTGGCCATGTGCACCAAGACCAAGTTGACGGCTTAAGTGTATTAAATAAGTCCAGGGGAAATTTCCATTTTGTGTTTGCGAGCCATAAACAAGATATTGATATTGTTATGGCAGTCGGAAAGGAGAGATCTTAAGCAAAAGCAGGGCAATTAACTTGGCACTCATTACGGGCTGAGATTCTAATGAAATTCGGTGTTTTGTAACAAGAAATAAATTTCAGATTTGCTTGCAGAGGATAATAAATTTTTGGTTATTGATTTAATGTCCTATATATTAGAATTTGTATAGTGGAAATGTCCACAGCTCGGAAAATATGGGATTTATGATTTTAGTAGGCTTTTACTTATAGGATTTAGCTTGTTGAGGTTTTAATGCAATCAAGATATGAAATATTTTAAATAATAATTAAAACTTACTAAGAGATTTTCAATTTTGTAATGATAACTTTTTGTTTACAAAAAGCTGTTTATTTTTGCCTTGACAAACTAATAAAATGATGTGCCGAGTTCCATCAAAGCTTAATTATTCGAAGTTAGTTTCCATGCTCTGATTTTTCATTAGTTCTCCACTGTTCTTTGAGAAACTCAGCAATAATAGCCAAGGGACAGCCCTGCCCCGTCCCCTGCCCGCATGTCAAATATTTGAACAAAGCCCAAGACGCAGAAGTCTCGGCGCTGAAAAGTATGCAGCAGACAAAAGCTCATTAAGAACTCAGACACAATCCCCACTCGCACAGCCTTTCAGCCTCCTTCTCCAGTCACCAACCAACCCATTACAACCCACTCCTGTCATATCCTCGTTGTCATCGTCATCCACTGCCCCGCACTCCGTGTTAAGTGATTTCCATCATTTGCGCCCGAGGCACATGCTGGGGAATTCCAAGTTGGTTGGTAATACCTACTGCCACTGCCCCTTTTCCACTTCTTATAAGAGTCATATGTTCGTATGTTCAATTTCATCTAAAAGCAGGCCTCGTCTGTTGCTTGTTTCTGTAGTTCCTGTGGCCAGGACAATGGGGACTTAATCCAAACATAACCAAACAATCCTGAAGTGCCAAAATGTGCGGGCCTTTGGTGTTGATATCAATTTAATAATTGGTTGACTTTAACATGATTATCTCTTTCAGCGGGATCCCATCCAGACACAGGGCGATAGAGGATTCCATTGAACTGGCTGCCGGGTTAAATCTGGTAAGTGCAAAACTTTTCCTTTCAATCACTTCCTCAAAGCCCCAACAGCTCAAACGGATCTCAGACTCTGAATGCATTCGCTGGCAAAGAATCTCGTTTGAAAAAATATATGAAAAAAATAAAGTGCGAGCCATAAAAATTCGAAGCACTAACAAGCAGTGAGCTACTGCAGATAGAGAAGTCGTTGAAGGACTTGAATTTATTCACTTTTAAGTGAGAAATATTTAAAATATTCAAAATGAATACTAAACTTTATCGACCAAAAGATTTAGTGTCAAGATATATTGATTTTAGACTGCAAGAATCATAGTTTTACTATTAAGAAAGGCTTTCTTAAAATCTTTAAGTTTTAATATTCTCCCACAAACCCCTTCCTCAAGTTCTAAGTAAACATGGATAGTTTTCCCCTCAGTGTAGCTAAGTCCATATGTATTTGTGAAGGTGCGGGCTAAGTCTTGGAAAACTTTTGTGTGTTTAATTTCCGGCTGCTTTAATACAAGTTCAGCCGGGCATGCACTTGAGGCTTGGCGAGGATTGGCGAGCCTGGCGGTCTCATAAGCTCCCAAGGAGCTGCGTGTCCTGCGGCGTCGTGTCCTTGCGGCGTATGACCCGCAGATTTGTGGTCTATGGCAAAATATTTATATAGAAATTAAATAGCCTCCATACCAGGGTATTACTTAAGGCAAAGGTCAGTGAAGTGTGCCTTGCCGACCTCATCAGCCCTATGAACCATTGAACTGCAGGTACAAGGAGTGCCTGCTAAGTCTGGGTACTCTATTCAATTCATTTAATGGACGTCTTTTCATACAGATTATGAGGATCTAGTAAAGCTTAAACAAGGTAAATTAATTTTGAGAAACGCAATGTACTTTTAAGTTTTGAAATGCAATAAATAAGGGCGAAGGTATCTCAGTAAAGTAACTTTTTAAGCTTTGGAAAAAACACGACGCAAAGGAGTATTCCATCTTTTGTGGTTACTGCAAGCTTTTCCTATTATCTCCAGAAACAGAACCCCATTACAAGGTTCTTTTTAATGTCCTTTACACTCCTTAACAGTCCCAAAATGTGAGTTCAAAGGGAGATCTCGAGTGCATCTGCTGTGGGGGAGTTGCCCCATATAGAATCCCCCTTTAGCTTGCTCCCCTTTTTATAGCTTACCTGAGCTTATCTCAGGTATATATATATATATAAAGGTATATATATTCACGTATCTGCGTATATATATCTGCTCCTATATAAGCAGGGCACATTGTTAGGACAAACGACCCTTGAGATATATAAATAAACTGCCTCAAGATTAGTTTAAATGGTTGGCGACGTGCCTCTGCCCTCGTTTCGCAGATGCAGCTGCAGCTGGTAACTGCATCCTGCCAGTAGGGGTGACATCCCCTAATATCTCCTTCACCCATGCCCCGTAGCTACTGCACTGAAAATAAATAATCTGATTTTGGTATTAAGTTGTTTCATAAAAATTTCTGAAAGAAAAGACATAAGAATGCCAAACAGACGACGCAGAAACTTTGTTCTTAAATCAATAATAATTAGTCTTGAATTTAGATTGCATATTTTACACAGGGAAAAAATTGCTGATAGAACAATCTTTAGACGATTTCAAGAAATTCAAAATTTAGTTTTAGTTTTTATACTTTTTTTTAGTTTAAACATGTCATTATATAATATTAATATTTGCCAAAAGAAGATATATAAAAAAATAAAAATGCTTCTTTCAATATTTTCCCCCAGTGTACATATGTGTGCGTATATGATTGGAGTGTGTGTGTACATGTAAAGTGGCGCTTATTCTAGCACTAACAGAGAGAAACCAACACAAAAAGCTCTTTGGCACTCGTAATGTCCATGGAGGGGTGCGGCGAAAGGGTATTGCTATTCGGGTGTAGGCGACATAGCATAGGGGCAATGTGACCCCCCAGCAAGCCGACAACCCCCCCTCTCAACACGCCCATTATGCTCATTATGTGCTTTCGTACTTGGCTCGTTTTTGTCTTTACTTTCCTCGCTGTTGTTGCTGCGTCGTCTTCAACGTCGTCTTCCTACTCGTGTTTGTTTGTCTGTTCGTTTGTTGTGTTTGTTTATCTTGTTTATTTGCCTTTGTGCCAAATTATTTGTCGTTGCTTGTTCGCTGTTCTTATGCTACTTGTTATTTGAATGCTTATTGCTTTTTCCTGTTATTTTCTTGCGGCTTTTCTTGTTTGTGGTAGGGGGAAAGCCAAGAATTTTGATTGTCCAGATTTTCGAAAGAAAAACCCGCATAAGCTTTATTTGCATGTGGTCTAGGCAGAGATTTTCTTTGGTTTGGAAAGCCTTAAGGTGTTTAATTAAAGTTACGATCCATGCGTAGTGTGGTAGGACAAGTACTATAAGGGTCCACTGTATAAGTTTTAGCATAACGGATATTTATAAGACAAATAAGAAACAACTTAACTGTAAATTCTATTCTGGTAAACTCTCTTTCTCTCTTTCTAACATATAAGTTAGCTTTAAGGGATCGTTTTGTATATATGTCCATCTCGCTCACGGACAAGCGAGTAGAGGGATGAACAAGAATTGTAAACAGCGCGCTATAGCGGCACAAGCTGTAGTAAGAATAATGTAAAAAACCTAACAGACATAAAAAATTACAAATCATATTACTTTTCCCTACATTCTTCAAGAACTTTCAAGAATTAATTCAACTTAAAATCGAAATTTCCCAATTGTCAGTCTGCATATCCTTCGGATCGTCCTCAATTCAACTCTTCAGCCAATATCTCCTTAAGCGGCTTGCCCTGGGACCTTGTAACAACAGCAGAAACCACCAACAAGAAGGGGAAAGGAAAAATAAGAAGAATAAAAAACAGAGAAGCTTAAATGACAGACAGCTACCAGTTCCCAGGGCGAAAAACCAGAGCGAAGAGCAGAGAAATGTCCAAAAAATGTCAATTTATTATGGCGAAATCAGCGTTGGACACACGCGGCCACCACGCGTGACCAGCAGCATAAGCCCACCCAACAGCCATGCCCAACTCCCATCTCAGCAGCCAGAATTTTCCCAACTGACTGTGTCATGTGTATAAATACTTTTTAATCTGAATTATTACGGTCTGCAAGTTTTTCTTTGCTTGATTATAATTTATTCACATAAATTTCCATGATGCATGGCATTTAAGTGGCAGTGACAGGACCAAGAGCATTCGAACTCTTCCCTTCGACATTTTAGAAGGACTCTCTTCGAACAAACAACAATTCCTTTGCAAAGCCCTTTAACGAAACGGGGTACTGGTGTAAAAATGAAACAAAAAAAAAAGGAAACTGAAAAGGACGCAGCCTCGAAAAGTTTGATCTGAAAATGGGATCAAGGGGATTGCTCGATTCGATTGTTTAATTACTCAAACAATCAATGAAATTGGAACGAGTGCTGGTTTTAAATAAAAAATATACAGCTGATGTTTGACTAAAGGCACACAGCATTTTTATAACTTAATATTTGAAAAAAATCAAAAGAAAAAATTATATAAAATAATATACTACATTTTCTGCTTGTATTTATAATATCCCTGGGTATTCTAGCAAATTTATAAAATATATTATTCATAATTAAGTTATATTAAAAAGATTTATTACGATTCCTATCAAAAATCAAACAACATACCGTTGAAATATCGAAAATTTATCTTCCAGTGTCAATATTCTGACCGCCACTGTTTACGCAACATTTGCGGGCGTGACACACTTCCGCTTCACTTTAAGGACCTGCGGTCGCGGTCATCCGTGAATATCCACCGCAATTTGTTCATTCACTTTTAATTATACATATGTATATAAAATATGTACGTAAAACTTTTTCGGAAGTGTTCAACTGAAAACATGTCGCATAACCAAACAAGCTATTGCCAATTCCCAAAGCCAGCCATGTTCGACTCAACCAGCTGTTCGATTTCTCTGTTCGTATTTCTCTGGGGGCAAAGGAAAATAGCAAAGTTTCCTCTCTCTCTCTCTACGTCGATGTTTTTTGTGTTCGACGTTTTGTGTTCTCTGGTATTGGTCAACATCGTCAGCATCGAGCTGACCCAAACTTATTGTAAACAATATGTGATACCAGGCAGGCAAACACGGGTATTCAATGCAGGTAACACCCACACCACAACTATAAGTGCAACATCATGTGGATGACCCCATCCTATTGCCAAGTCAAACCACAATTCCTGCTCTATCGCCACACGACCGTTGCACATTTGCACTTTGTCATTTTGCGTTAACTTTGCGCAAACGTTTGCACCGCAAACTGTCAAAATGTGCAATTAGTTGGGTTAAATGGCTCACCTCAGCGATGAATCATAAGCATCTACAGTGGAATTTGGCTAAATGTGTCCCTGGTTAATAGCATACGATTTGGAATTTCTAAAATTTTACATTGGTTTCTGTTAGTTTAACATTTTGCTGCAATGTTAGCTAGTTAGTGTTAGTGTTTGGGACAGTTTAACATTTTTCTGTAATGTTTATATTAGTCTCTTCTAGCTTAACATTTTTTCTGCAATGTTAGCTAGTTAGTGTTATTGTTTGTGAGAGTTTAACATTTTTCTGTAATGCTTACATTGATCTTTGCTAGTTTTACATTTTTCTGCAATGGTACGTGCCTGTAAATCCCTTCTTATCATGATTATATTTTCTCATAAGGGTGTATTGATTGTATATCTGATGGTATATCTACTGTACTAAGCTGTACTATACATAGTTATGAACAGCCTGGGGGTGGTATTTAAATTAAAATTGAAATTAAACAAAGCAACCAAATTGAAAAAAAATAAACGCCAGGAGATAGAAGAACTTTTATTCAATTACACTTGGCTGGCATTAATTAAACGTGCACGTTCGATTATTGGAAAATTCTCGGTTTCCAACAGGTCGTCGTCGTCGTGTGTCAACTATGTCGTCGCGTGTTCTACTTTTCCGAGCAATAAGCTGACTTAAGCCTAAACGGCTTAGCGTCCCTCTGAGTGGTTTGCCATTTGTTGAGTGCCCGCCGCCTGTTTGTGTCTCTGTCTGCACTTCCATTTTAATTGAAATGCGAATGAACTGCACTCGACTCGATCACCATCACCATCTCTATCTCCACTCCTGCAAAACCACCTGCATTCCAACAGAATTCCATTGCCATTTGCCCACCACGAAGTTATTTAATTAGGCATGGCAGCATGCAGATTGCTCTCAGTGTCCGCCCTGCCAATTTCCAATTGCAATCTGAGAACACAGAACTGGGTCAAGTGCCCTTCTTCAATTACCACATTTGCCTGGCCATCAATTTTTGGTCTATGCCATGACATTTTAATAACTTTTAATGCAACAGATTATGGTCCATTATGGCCAGCGGGTTGCTAAGCTCATTAAATATGGATTTCATTTTGTGTAGGTTTGATTGAAGTGCAGTAAACCGATGTAAAAGCTGGTTGAACCAGAACTAAGAGAGTTAACCGATGTAATCCTCACCGCATGCAAACATAAAATGGTACTAAAAAAAAAGGATTTTCGATTTATTAACTTATTTATAAAACTATTTCGCTGGAAAAAAGTATCTTAACTTACTGATTAAGCACCATTTTCAGGGGGATTTTTCTCTCTGTGTGATTGTAACTCTTTCAGAACAATGGATTAATTCACAATTTGTTGAGTTGTCCACATTTATAATTTGTAGAGCTGCCTTCAACACAACAATGCCCCCATTTAGCCTTTCTTGTTTGGCCGCCCACAATCTTTATATATATATACGTGGCTATATAGGATACGTTAAAAGCCGGGGTAAAAATTTCAATGGGTTTAATCAACTTTATTTTTGCTCTTGTCTTTTCTGTCACTGGAAAGTTCGTGACTTCGAACAATGGCGCCATGGCAAACACTGACGCCCAAAAAATCGATAACAAGTTGTTTGTAATTGTTGCTTGTTGTTATTGTTGTTGTCATTGTGGCTAAAGTTTTTATTGTTATTTTGTTTACTGAGTTTACTCACTGGTCTGTGACTGAGACTTGTCCGTTTAATGGCAATTTTACAAATTTTCTTTAAAAGTTTTTGTCTAGTAAAAGGCATTTGCCTAGAAGTTAAGATTGAACTTAAGGTTAGGTAACGTAAATTGCTTAACATTTTATGGAATCATTTAAATTAATCAGAGCTTAAGATTACTTAAATGCTCCTGTAAATCTGTAAGCTCTTAACTAACTAACCAGCAGCTGTAAATTGCAATTACTCATCCTGGTAGATAGTTTGTCTGCCATCAAATTTAATGGAATTTTCAATTAACTCCGGCTGGCTGGGAAAAGTGTTGGACTAACATCTAATTGGATTGCCGCTTGATTTGGGCGAAATTGCAAATTAGGACATTAAAGCTGATCCAGCACAAAACGTGCTCGAAATGTTTGTCGGTCTAAGGGATATTAAGTATCCGACATGTGGCCACGACCGCAACAAAAGCGCTCGCCCAAAAGTATGCAAATAATGTTGGTTGAAAATCCCCCAACTAATTTGTAGTGGTGGCAAAAACTAGCAGCAAATTATTAAATTGACTGAACAAGTCGCACCAACGCCAAAAAGAAAAAGAAAAATAAGATACAGAACGAAGTTGCAAATATGGAATATGAAAAATTGCTCCAGTAAAATATGAAAAAGTTGAGAGCGTAAAATGAAATGCACAACGAACTAGACTAAACCCAAGGAAACAAAAAAAAATGTGGCAGGAGGGATTGGTTGTGTTTCGGGTTAGTTGTTGGCTTGGGCTGTCAGTTGGCGCCGTTTCCGGCCGCCAGACGATGGCAGGATTAACTTTGGCCCCAACTGCAGTCGCCGGACGGACTCTCGAGCGCGGTTTGTGTAAATTTATGCCCCGGAAGGCATCAAGGATATCAGCGGGGATGGCCAGGAAGGATTCAAAGGAAGCCCGGTATGAACTGATCTATGGTCAGTAATTTCTGTATTTTTTACCCTTCTTTTTTTTGTCTAAGCCAATTCTGCTTTGCCTGAAAAGTTCGCATTCAGTTAAAGTTTTTTGACATTTTTGGTGCACAACCCCCCTCCCCCCCAAAAAAAAAAACAAAAAGAAAGTCGAACAAGCGTTTAAAATAGATTGAGGTCAATAATTGTCCTGGCATATGTGGATAGGGAGCATATATATACAGAGATATGGGGCCAAGGAAAAAACACGTATAAGCTATATCGGTACCAATTTGTATATGAGACCCATTTACAAGGCCCTTTGCTTAGACCTTCTTCCTAGTTTCTAAGCCTATTACTTTTGGTATCTGCTGTCTTGGGGTTTATTTTTGTGCTTTATGGCCAAAGTCACGTAAAAATCGAATAAATGTATAATGAAGACCCTGAATATGGTGGCGGATACAAAAGCCCAAAGCCACTGAGTGCCCGCTTTTAGTGGGTTTGTCTGTGTGTTTTCTGCGGTTTTTCCTTCTTGGTTGAGAACGAGAAAAAGGATAGAAAACCGAGACTCACTCATGTCAAAGTTTTTCACTGGCTTTTCCATATGGCTGAGAATAAGCTGTTCTGGCAATCAAGTTTAAATTGACTGCGGTTTGTTTCCATGTTTTCTGGACTCTTAATCTGTAAACTTCTCTTGAAAGTATTAAAATAAAGTTCTTTTCCTTAAGCAGCTTATGCATATTTCTTAAACTGCTTCATATATAAGCCGATTATTTTGTTCCTCCTCTTGATAAATACATATGTCCAAACATGCATGCAACAAAGTTATATACATAACTAATCAGACCCAAATCATTCGTTCTCAATGAATGTCTATTTATTCTTCAGTTTCATTTAGAGCAAAGGCGGAAATTGAATTTTTGTGGTCGGAATTCATTTCGGTTGGTGCAATGGCCGTTAGAGTTCTTTGCATGTTGAATAAATGTCAAAATATACCCAAAGTTGTACCTACTTGATAGCTACATATACATTTTGGCCGAAATGAAAATTGCATTCCTCCCGGACTTGGCCACAAACTGACAACCACAACAGCAACAGCAACAACTACATACAAATTGCAACAACAGCAGCCGAGGAAAGACAGCCAAAAGACAGCCTTTGACAGGCAACAATAAAAATTCGTTTGGCCCATTGACTGGCTGACAGACATTCGGTTTTTGGGGCTCTGGCCTAAAACGTTTACACTCTTATGTAGCTAGTTTTCTGGTCTACAATTTAAACCTTTTTCGGAAATACATTTAAGGAAAATTAGCTTGGGATGGTTGGAGATTAAAAACTAAATACGTTGAATTAAAAGCAGATTAATATTTGGGAAAATGATAACCATAAGAGAGGCTGTACAAACTTTTTGAATTTACATATTAATTTTTGAGTCTAATTTTAAATATGTTACATAAATTAATAAATGATCATTAAATTACATAAATATTTAAAATCCTTAATATATTATTCAAAAAAGTAATTTTGTTACATTTTTCTTTTCTTTTGTAAGATTATACCTACTTTTCCCCCTAACTTTTTAGCCTTTACAGCAGGGACGTTCAACGCCTATGCTCTAGCTGCTCCTTTTTTTGTTGTAAATACTCTCTGTTGTGGTGCTCTCTCTGCTCTCCCATAAGCTTGACCACTCGCGGCTCTATTCCACCAACAATTTTTCGTTTTCTTCTTTCCGCCTCATTCCGTCGCTAACTGTTCTCTTTCTTACTCGATCATCCTCGAACCCATGCACTGGAATTCATTCCTTTTAACTTCTGTTTGCTCTTTGGAGTTTATTTCACAGGGGACCATCGAAGTGAGTTTTGAAAAGGGTGATGAATTGGTTAGCAAAAAGAATGTGTGTTTCTTTCTCTCAGTGCTCAGCTGCAAACCAACACACAACTGTATATGTGCATATTTTCTGTATTCGTATTAGTAAATGCTCCGCCGTAAAACGAAATTAGGCACCCCTGCTTTACAGCTTACATATGTATGTACATATGAATAACCTTATATGACGATATATACACTATAATCATACAGTAATCCCTTGTCCATATTGTTAACCCCCAAAACACCTCTGCAGTGTACTAATATTATACAACTTTGAGAAGTACCAACTTATGTTTGAAATTACCTAGAAAATTAAAGTTTTTCTTTCTCAGTCGTAAATCGGTTTCAGGAACCCTGTTATTTGGCAACTGACATTTACGGTTAGTTGTGCACGCAGGTGGGCGTGGCCTTTGGGCCGAAACAATCCAATATTGCCACATCAATCAAATCGTATATGTACGAGTGTGTGTGCGGGGGCAAGTGTTGATGGAGCCAAGTCATTGGACACGACAATCAAGTGGGTGACGATAGATTTTTATTTTAGATTGAGCCACGCGAATTGCTTTCGACGAGGTTAATTAGTTTTTTGGCGGTGCTAAATTGAAAAACGACCTAATGGGGGTATTGGTGGTGATTTTCCGCCAAATAATGATTTCAGCAAAGGGTTTTTACAGTCCATTTAGAAATGGTTTTGATTTATGAGGTATTTGAAATGATTTCTAAAAAGATATCTTTACCACCTTTTCTCCGAATAAGATGTACAAATTTCATAAATAATTCATAAATATTTCCTAAACAAAAAACCTTCTTCATTGTACGCATTTCCTTGCAGTTGTCGTAACATGGGCTGCGTCTTTGAAGCGGCCAAAGAGCAGCCCCACAAACCGAGAAGCAAGCAACTGAGGCACAACCAATGCCGTGGCAAGGCAGGAGCAGGGACCAGAGGCAAGGCCGCTGTCAGAGCAAACGAGAAACAAGCTGAGGACCTCAAAATCAAGGATAACTATCAACAAAACCATAAAACGCAAACCGAAACACAAACAGAAGTAGAAACAGAAGCAGAAACAGAATCAGAGGCCCAAACACAATCACAGCCAGAAACTGGGCCCGAACATCTAAAAGCGACGGCTCAAGTGCTTTTAACGATACGGCAGCCACGTCAGGAGAACAACAACAAGAACAACAAGTACGGTAGTCAAGTGGCTGAAACGCACAAGGACGAAAGCGAGGACGCTTTGGCGAGGCAGGGATCCATTGTCGTCGATACGGCGGTTAGAATCGGAATCGATATTGCGGCAACAACGATTCAAATCGCCGAACGGGATAAGGATAGGGACGAGCAGCAGCAGCAGCATCGGCAGCAGCATCACAATGTCCGTCGGCGGAGGCGTCAGGATCCGGCCGCTTTGGATCCTGCAAGCCACTCAAAATCACCAGCCACAATTGCTGGCATTTCGGCATTATCCCTGCATTTCCACGCCCTTGCCGCCCTAGCGAAAACGCTGCAGAAACAGGACGACGAGAGTCCTGCCCAGGATCGCCAGCCAATAGCCTACCGGCCGTGGCAAGGACATCCGTATGCCGAGTCCCAACTGCCCGCCACCATGTCAGCGGCAATTATCGCGAATGTCAGCGCCACGGCAGCGGCCACATCGGCGGCAGCCTTCCAATATCTTGGCCAGCACTACAAGCACTATAGCCAGTCGATCAGCTTCTATGCCGCCTCTAGCGTCATCCTGATGCTCTGCTATCTGACCACCGCGTCCACGGCAGCTGCCACGCAATCGGAGACGGGTGCCCTCGACAAGCATCCCATGTGAGTGCTTTGCCCGGTTAAAATCAATACAGAGTTCACTTAGTTGCAATGTTCGCCTTGATTTTTAAATCAGCAATTGTAAGGAATAAAAATATTGAAATATATTTTAATGTAATTGGAAGCTTCCGTTGCCGGTGGGGTAGCCATTTCCTGTGAAATAATCTTGACAGGGTTGCTTGCTACCGAAGTACGCCATTGTCGATAACGGCAATGGGCAATCGAAACCGATATCCGCCATTTTTACTAACACAAACGGCAGATGGTAGTTTTTTATAATCGATATAAGTTATCGATATCAAAGATAAATATTGAAAATTATGTTTAAAATATTTGTTAAAGATATAAATAATGAAATATATTCAATAAAAAATTTGTGAGTTTGTAGAAAAAATCAAGGCGAACTCAGTGCTTTCATGAAAACACCCAAATTCATTCCATCATTTGATTTTGTAACACCCTAACACACACACACACATACTACCAAACCGCCTCTCTATCCCCTAACTATCTATCTGTCTCTTCATATATACGTATCTATCAATCTGTATCGCCTGGCAATCCTTTCCACAACACGTACAAAAATTGTTCTATTTATTTTTTCCTTTTTGAAATTCTTTCAGTCATGGCATCGATTGGTCGAAGTAAGTTAATGCACACCTCCTTCCCTCTCTCTTTCTTTAAAAAAAACTAAAAAAAAAATAAAACCGAAAACAGAGATTTTATATGGAAAATGAGAAAACTAGAGTTTTTGGTTTCATCTTTTACTCAAATTATGAAGTTTCGTTATTCTGCACTTTTTGAGTTTATTTGATTTCCCGTTAAGGCAATTGGTTTTTCTCAGCTTCGTTCTGCTGATGCTATGCATGTGATTTGGAAAAACAAGTTTATGATTTGCCTAAAACTAAAATGCTTTGCAAACTAAACCAAAACTTCAAAGCAAATCTATCTTAGAACTGAGAACTATTTGTTTCTTTTTTGCTATTAAAAGACAGTCTTGTCATCTTGATAAGACTTAATAAACATACTTTAATACTTTTTAAATAGGAAAATTTCTAATTTTAGTGCTTTATTATAAGTTTTAATCTGTTAATTGGCTTTCTTGTTAAACATATTTATCCACAAACTAACAAACTTCCCATCTGTCTAAAACAGCACACGAAACTGTTGTACATAAAAGATTCCCAGGGATAATAAACAAGTTTATATTTTGATAATTACTAACACAAATTAACATTAATTGTTATTTTCTTAATAACAATATATATAAATTTCAAACTAATTTTCTGATATTCCACACAGATTCGATGAGTCCAGTTCGGATAAGGAGATATTAGATTTACTACTTGAGAAGAAGCGCTACGATAAACGATTACTGCCGCCTGTAAATGGTAAGAAGTTTCCCAACTTATTTGCCATTTCCACAATGTTTCGATTCAATTTCCAATTTAACTAAGTGTAGAGTGTTTGCGGGTATTGTACTTAGTTTTTGTGCCATTAAGAGGGGTTGCCAAATGACAACCAGCAGACAACAACTGGAGGAGCCAGCGCCACGACGTATGGACACTATAAAATCAATTAAACTTAATGGCTCCACTGTCCTGGATGTCTGATGCACAAAAGAAGTGAACACTTTGAGGGTTTTCTGAGGACAATGCCTTCAGCCAGACCATCTATGCAATGCAATTACATTCGATATGTTTATGTTTTGGGAAATCAATACTTTACATTCTTTGTTACTGCGGGAAAACTATAAAATCACAATTTAGAGAGATAATATTGATGAGTTTAACAAAGAGATTTTCATCTGGTTTCAAGTTAAATCCTTCAATCACGTCCTTCACTTTTTGCAGATGAAGACTTTTGCTGTGGTTTGCAATCGCCCGATATGGCAACTAATCAAAATGCACGGAGACCACACAATCGCGGTTGGTTGTATTCTCAAGGATTTTGTATATTATACGTAGATGCACTTGTATCTAATATTTTGAGTTTCCTTTTACTTTCATAGAAATAACTATTATTTTAAGAATGTTTTATTACGATGATTTCATACAAAATTTAAGAAAAGTTTCGCAAGTTTACGATTTTAGCAGAAAGTTTAGTTTTGCACACAAAAAAAGATTTAAATTCAGTTTTTTAGGGTTATTTTTAATATTTCCCATCTACATTTTTTTCTTTTCCATGAAAGCAGTTTTGCCTTTCCACAAACTAAATATTGGCCAGACATTTATTTCTATTACATTTGTAGATTTTTTCTTTCTTCCGGCACTTCTTCAGCATTTCTTTAAAACTTACAAAATTCACTAGAATTTTCCTTTCTTCTAGCACTTAAATATTATTTTAATAAACTATTTCAAAAGTAGACTGCATTGAAATCCCTTTTAATAGGCACTCTGACGGTGAACGTGAACGTGCTGCTCCTGAGCTTAGCATCGCCCGATGAAAGTAGTTTGGTAAGTCCGCAAATAATAGTAAAAGTAATATGTGTATTTTCTAAGATATAAAAACTGAGTTGCTTTACAGAAATACGAGGTTGAATTTCTGTTGAACCAGCAATGGAACGATCCGCGACTGCAATATGGCAATAAGTCTCATTATGACTTCTTAAATGCTCTGCATCATCATGATAGCATCTGGACGCCGGATACGTATTTCATTATGCATGGCGATTTCAAGGATCCCATCATACCAATGCATTTCGCTTTAAGAATATTTCGGAACGGGACCATTACGTACGCAATGAGGTGTGTGTTCGTTTCAGTGTTGTTGCTCGATTTGAATATGAATGAATTTTTTACACAAAAAAAAAAAAAAAAAATGTAGAACTGGAGACGAGGCCGGGCTAAGCGGCTTTAATGGCGCCAGAAAATGCAAATTTTTCGCTCAAAGTTCATATTCATTAGGGAGAGCAAGATGACAGGCAGAGCGGCAATATTTTTTTATTCTCTTTGCTGCTATGTTTTTTTTTTTTGTCTCTGCTTTGCTCAATTTTCCATCGTTTTTTCTTACTTTTTTCTTTCTGGCTAGTGGAAAATTTTGAGGAAAGGGCCCACAAAATATGTAAGCTAGCCGGGCAAACACACGAGGCTGTAATGAAAAATAGCACAAGAAACGGAGAAGGTAGCGCAGAGAAATAGGTGAATATGACTAAAAAAATGCATAAAAAAAAAAAGAAGAAAAAGAGTAGCTAGGTATGTAAATATTTGGCCAGGTACAAAGTACATATATCCTGGCCAGCTGGAAAATTTCAGACTCCTATGCTGCGCGCTGAGAGAGGGGGGAAACAGAAGAAGAAGGCAAGGAACTTTTCACAATATGGCCAGCATTCGTTGGATGCTCATGTTTGTCTTCGTTTTCGCCCTCTTTTTTCCAACCCCTTTCCCAACTTGTCTACATTTTTAATTCAACAGAACTTTTCCAATTGACTGCATAGCGCAAAAGTGTCGTCCAGCAATTAAAATAAGTTGCAGTTGCCATTTACTTTTCCAGCTTTTTCTGGTCCAGCATTTCCCTTTTTTGCTGTTTGCATAGCCGACAAGGGGAAATGTTGGAAAAAAGTTGCTGGGAAAGCACGACAGCAGCGACACGGAGTGGAAAATTATGAATTGATGCTGGTGAACAAAGCGTGATATTAAGTGGCAAAGACAAGCATGAAACTGCTCGGGGAGAAAATTCAAGGAATTATAAGGTCACAAAATATTTTACGATAGATATGCATCGCCAGGAGTAGGGAAAATAGTTAAAAGCTGTAATAAAACGGGAATTTAGTATGTGTAAATATTTCTGTTTAGTTTTCATTTTAATCAAGAAATGTGATATGGTCAAGTGCCCAAAGGCTTTAAATTTGAAATCATAGGAAATAAACAAACTAATTTCTTTAATATTTAACAGCAAATCAGATACCTTTGGGCCCTTGTTAAGCTGTTTGTTTTGCATTTAAGTTTGTTGTTTGGTTATAAACATTTACACTGTAAGTTTAAAATATAAATTTAACCTATTGTTTGTGGCATTCTTTTTCCAGACGTCACCTGATCTTATCCTGCCAGGGAAGTCTTCATATATTTCCATTCGATGATCCAAAGTGTTCCTTCTCCATGGAGAGCAGTAAGTAGAAATATATTATTATTAGTGTGGTAGGACAAGTACTGATAAGGCCCACTGTATAACTTTTAGCATAAGATATATGTGTAAGTCCCATTGTAAGGTAACAACTTAGTTGTAAATATAATCCTGATATACTGTTTTCTCTTTCTATAAGGTAAGTCAGCCTTAAGAGATCGTTTTGTGTGTACATTCGTCTCGCTCACGGACATGCGAACAGAGGAACAACAAGTATTGAAAAGGGGTTTGAGGGCAGACTAAACAAAACAAAGCTGTAAAAATGTTTTAGTATTTTTATACTGTCGTTATTTATAAGGAAAGATTTATAAATTCGTTTAGCCTAGAACTAAGGATTTAATCTAAGATGTTAATTAATCACTTAACGTATAAAAAAACAAATTAATATTAGAAAATGTTTAAAATTCGACTAAATCAAGATTAAACTAAAGACAACTCAAATTAAATTTTCCAACATATTGAAAATCAAAACGAAAGATGTCAAAACCAAGTGCTGAGTGTTAAGTATTTTTTAAACAATACGATTGAAGAGCCTGTGAGCAGGATTAATGTATAAATAATGCGACAATTGCAAAGTGTTGAAAGGGAACCTCAAGATGTTGATGCCTCTGATGATAAAAAGATGGGCAGGCGAGCGTGTTGACTGCCACTCAAGGGAAATCTTAGCCTCCATCTGCATTTGCCTGTGTGTGTTTTCTTCTATGTGTTTGTGTTTATGCAACAATGGATAAGGCAATGTGGCTAAAAGGGGCGTGGCACCAGCACAGGAAGGGGGGCTCTAAACGACAAAAGCTGACAAAGTGACTAACAAGGCTGACTGCCTGCCAAACACACACACACACACACAGATAAACCAACACACATAGTCAGCCTGGGCTGTTCTGGGCTTTTTGTCTTCACATTGTTTTCGAAAGTTGTTTCCGGTTCCCAACCCTAACAACACCCCTCCTCCCCCAGAAACCCCTCTTAGAAACATTGGCTAAGAACGTGAGCAACATCGTAAATTACTTTGAGAGGATGATGATGTCGGTGGTTCCTGCCGAGATTCACATCTATGAGTGGGAAAGAGCCATCGAAGTGTTGTGCCTTTTGGCTGCCTGTCACGGCTTGTTTGTCAAATATGATTTAATTTACTGACGGTGTGGGCCCTAACCCTGACAAATGGCTCAGACAATATGCATTTGCCTATTTACATTAATCTAATTAATTAATAAGATGATGATTATGATGTGGATGATGGAGATGAAGGGATTATGTAATCCTAAAGCTAAATATAAACATTCTCTATATCTTTGTACAGTTTCCTATGAGGAGGCCCAAATCAAATACGTCTGGAAAAACGATGAGGACACTCTGCGGAAAAGCCCTTCGCTGACCACACTAAATGCGTACTTGATCAAGAATCAAACAACGGCCTGCGATCAAAACAGCTGGAGAGGTAAGTCATTAGAATCTCCATTCTTCGACTTTCAATAGCCAATCACTTCATTTTGCTTATACTTTTTGTATTAGCCAAAAGAATTTACAACCGGAACATTTTTGCTCTTTTAGTAAACGTAGTTTATATGGTAAAATATGGTATTTAAAAAAAAAAAAACAACAACTTTTAGGTTCCGTATAAAAAACCAAAAACAAAAACAAGACCTTCTCAGTTTAGTACTCCATTCTTTGGCTTGGCTTTTTAAAAGTTAATAAATATTTTTTTTTAAAATTGATTTACTTTTGTAGAACTCAGAACTCGGCTAGATATGCTTTTGCAGCTTTTACATTTTAGCAAAGAATCTACAAAATATAAATCCAATGCCTATCTAATGGTCTACTCTTTGTCTACCTTCCCACTCCTCCTCTCTTATATATATTTATATATAAAAACAAAAACGCTACAAAAACAACCAACAAAACAAATCCCAAAAACCCAAAATAATGCCCCTAGGGAACTACAGCTGTCTTAGGGTCGATTTAATCTTTACCAGAGATCGTGCATTCTATTTCACCACCGTTTTTATACCCGGCATTATATTGGTGACGTCGTCCTTTATAACTTTCTGGCTAGAATGGAATGCCGTGCCAGCTAGATCGATGATAGGTAACAATACCAAAAAAACCATCAATTTAAAAATAAAAATAAACAAAAACCCAAAACCATAAACAATTTTTGCCCTCGCTCTCTCTCTCTCTCTCTCACACTAAAAACAAAACCAAAAAAAAAAAAAAAATACAAAACTTTTAATAAAAAAAATACGTAATTTTAAGTAATTAACCGAACCAAAAATCAATTTTGTACGCCATTGAGAATTGATTTTCTTTCCGCCTTTCGTAGCATTTGCCTTTTTCGATTGCCCTTCTGTAATGTAATTTGTACAATTTTATGATTTCTGATTGTCACTTTACCATTTCATTTCAATGCGGCCAACAGTAGTAGCATAAAAGAATAAAATACTTATCAAATACAGTGCCCACCCAAAAGTATGCCCACACTTTAAGGTTTGCTGCATGGATTCAAATCCTTGAATGAGAGCCACCAATCCCAACCAAAAATAAATCTCAAAGCCAAAGTCCTAAATTACCGAACCACAATTTTAGTTAGTTTTATTAAGTTTTCTTTTTCAGTTCTACCATCAGTGTAGAGTTTAGCCAAAATAAGCCAAAACCAGTTGCAGAAAAGGTATAGTCTAGTTTTAGGCTCTTGAAGAGAACTACCTTCTCGTAAAATCTTAGGCCTCTCTATCTATCTCTATTTCTATCTCTCTGTCTGTCTCTGTGTGTGTGTATGCGTGTGTTAACCTTTGGCCGAATTTGCATAATTCCGGCCTTGTTTCTTAAGGTAATTACAGTTGCCTACAGGTCGAGTTGACATTTACCCGTGATCGTGCGTATTATTTTACAACCGTTTTCATACCTGGCATTATATTGGTCACCTCGTCGTTTATCACATTTTGGCTGGAATGGAATGCAGTCCCAGCCCGGGTTATGATCGGTACGTAGAAAAAAAACAATAAAAAAAACCAAAAAAAAAAGAAACTTCCAAATTCTCAATGAAGCAACTAGAAAACTTAACCAAAATCGAAGTCTTCCAAAAAATCAATCAAGAAATGTAAAACAATCCAAAAATCACAACTTAGTCGTTAACGAAACGTAGCCGTCCAGTAAGTTTTTAGTCCAAATTTAAACGCAACCACGAGACAATTGGCCAAAAAATAAATATTCAAATCTAGAAGTGTTTTTTTGTTTTAGTTTAGAAAAAAAAAAAAGCTTAGGACCATTTTGAACTCATCTTCAAGTTTAGCTAGCCGCTCGATTTAAATGGATTCCTTTTTCGTTTCGATCCATTAGTTGGACTGATTTTACCAATGTTGATTTTGTCATTTTGTATTTTATACTTATACTTCCTGCACTCGTATTTGGTAAACGCCCAACTCCTTAATGCATTGCATGACTTCTTAAACTTAAACTAGGCAATTTTCTTAGCTTTATTTTCTTTGAGAAGCTTTGATGAAACCATATACGAAAAGTCAACTAAAGCATTCTACATCAACATCATGTTAAAATGGCTACTCTAAATCATGATTAATTAGTATAAAACAGATTACATTTATACGTATTTTCTATCAAAAAAACTTATAATAAAGAAAAGAATATTAAAAACAAGAAATATTAAGTTGATGTAAAGAAAAACTTATAAACAGAAAATGAACCACATAAATATTAACTAAAAATAAGAAATAATTTGAATTTCACTTCATCAGATAAAGAAATACAAAAGATAATGCCACATATATCTATTATAAATAGATCACTTAAATAAGAAGATCACCTAAGAAAGAAGAGATCTGATTTTTCTACAGCCCTCCAGTAAGCCAAGTTTATTTTTTTACTTTTTAAGGACAAGAAAAATCAGAAGTCTTTTGGCCATAAAACCTCTTACTATTATGTCGTAAAAAAGTAATGCCTAGCACTTAAATTTCCCAATAATAAAAACTGAATTAAAATTTGAAATTCAAGTCAAAGTCATCTACCAGTAATTGTCCTTACCTTTTTATGCCGAGTAGAGCAAGGATAATGCAATTACTATGCTTTATTTCTGGCCAAAAGTGAGAAAGGAACACCGAAATGAAAATAATGAGGGCAACGCAAAGGGAATGTCAGCCGGAACATCAGGATCCTACGTCGTTGGCAGCTGACTCCTGGACAGGAGACACAGACACACGGACACGGTATCCTGGTATTTTCCCAGGGTTTTGTGGCACATACCACATCCCTGCCATGAGGATGATGATGATGATGATGATGACATGGAACGGTGGCCACATCATACATGATGATTTATGCATAAGCCATATGGGCAACATGGACTAGTCAAATAGAACAGAAAGTGTGCTCTCTGTGCGTGTAATGCAAAAACTACAAAGTTTGGGGCAGGAAAGGAAAACTAGCAGATGGGGATTATAAAAAGCTTTGAGCTTGACTTGACTTTAAATTGCAGTGAAATTTATGCACTAAGAATAAGTCTTTTTAGTAACTGATCTGGAAATAGTTTTTTATAAACATTTAAATATATTTAAAAAGTGAGAAATGGAATCCACAGTGATAAGTCTAACCTTTGATTTACATTTGTTCTGGTCTTCTGATAGAGATTTCTTTTCCAACTTTCCTATATTTACACACACCAACGATTGATAAAACTTCACTGATTTAAATAATTTCTGCAATAATAATGCACTTGAAACAAACCCATGACAAAACGACGTCAAAGCGCACTCAAATATCATTGTAAAAATTGAAAAAAAAGGGGGGATGGCTAGGGAGAAAGGATAATTCCATTTGTGGATGTCATTGTCTGCCCCGAGCAAACACAATCAAACGACATTTCAATGACAAAAGGAAACTAAATAAATAAATAGTGAAAAAAGCGGGGAAATGGCTTCAAGGCAGCAGCGATGCCGTTTTGTTAGTCAAAGTGCTGACATTGCATGCATTTTACAGCAGCTCCTTCTTAGCGTGGCAGCAGCATCTTCTTGCCTCATTTGTGACCCGCTTGGCTCTTGAGCTTTTCCTTCAAGCATTTGCAGTTGAGTGCAGCGTCGAGATTTCCCTTTCCTCAGTATATTTTGGGTAAGCGAGTAATAGGGAGGTTACGAAAAACGCTGGCAAATTGAAAATCGATGTGGTTCGTGAAGGCAGCGAAGCGGATGCAGCCAGAGCTCCTTGTAGCATGCCAAGCCAGTTAGTTAGTTTCCCAGCTCTCAACTAGCTAGCGAATTGTTGACGCAACTAATTAGGCAACCAAGATTGATAATGTCGCATATTCAGAGCCAATTGCATTTTTATGTCGAGCGGTCACGAGCTGAATAATTAATATTAAATGCCAGCTTTTCCTCTTGATTAATTCGATTTGGCCTGAAACTGAAACTGAAACCAAAAGGGAAAAATTGATTAATCGTTTAAAGAAATTAGTAATTTTCATTACAATAATATATTAATGCTTTACTTTTTAACACATCACTGTGATTAATTAATAGTTAATGTATATTTGAATAATAGTTATGACTGAAAAGCTTTTAGATTGAAATTTACATTATTATTTTTACAAATATACTTATTACATTGATGTATGTAAATGTAATGTAATGTAAATTATGTATTAAATATGACTCAGAAATTGGGAAATTTTAGTGTTTTAACGAAATTAACTTACAATATTGTGAGTAAATATTAATAATAATTGTTACTAAATATTATATTTTATAATAAAATTTTAATATATATTTTATAATAAAAATTTAATATATATTTTATAAAAAATCTGCAAGTAAACGATAAATATTTAAATAATGAATTAATAAAATAAAAAATAAACAATAAATTATAAATTAAAAATAATACTTTTAATCAAATTTATAAATAAACAAACAAATTTCAACATTTAACAAAAATAAACAATTTAAAAAGCATTTAAAAACAATTTAAAAACCATTAAAAACCCAAATAGCACCACAAACACCATCAATTTTCTCATAGATTTCAGTGACACCACAACAACAACATGAAATAAAATAAACAAATCGAATGTTTAGAAATAAGGCTGCTCCTCGACTTGGTAGAATTGTTTACTTTTCTTTAGCTTTTGCACATTTTAAAAACCACAAAAAATAAAACCAAATAAAAACGAACACAATATGATAACTACCTCCGTTCTGCGAGCACCGGACGGTATAACTAAAAACTAAAAAACTTTTGTATATATATATGCCAAAAACTAATTAAACAACTCAACTAAGCGGCACAAACAAAAAAAAAAAGACATAAAGACATAAACATCCTTCCGTCCTTGACACTCTGTTTGCTACCCCAGCCCCAAAAGTATGCAATGCTTTTCTAATTACGTGTCAAACAGCTAATGCAAGTTTCTCTACAATTACCATCCCACAATCCTGACCGACAATCAACGTATTCGAAACAACTTGAAACAACTTTGAACAACTGCAAACTGGAAACTGGAAACTGGAAGGCGTGACAACAATGCTGAATTTCTTCACTACCTCGAACGGTTTCCGGAGCACTCTGCCGGTTGTTTCTAATTTGACGGCGATGAACGTATGGGACGGCGTCTGTATGTGCTTCATTTACGCCTCCCTCCTGGAGTTCGTCTGCGTCAATTATGTGGGCCGTAAGCGGCCCCTGCACAACGTCGTCTATCGTCCCGGCGAGAATCCCGTAACACAGGTAAATTAAATAATCATTTAATCCGATTCACACCCAGGCAGCCCCAATTTTCTCCCCAAAAAAAAACAAAAATAAAAACCTAATTTCGTATGCATTTTGAAAGCAATTAAATATGAATTTTACATAAGCGTGCAAAAGCCAACAACAACAAAATGTTATATAAAAAAAACAAAACAAAAAACAAAACAAAATGAAATAAAAAGAAAAACACACAGCGAACACTACAACCAACATTCGTACTCTATAAGTTATTCAAGTTATTTGTTCTTCCTTTGTTTAAGAAGCCAGCCACACCTGAGCCCAAGTCATGAAACAAAACCAAAAAAAAGTAAAACTCAGACAAAAACAATTCGATTACCGTTATTGTGTTGCGTCCCCCTCTTTCTCTCTGTCTCTCTCTCTCTCTCTATATATATCTCTCCTTTACTATATATATCTGCGTGTAAGCCAAACTTTTGATCACCTATCCGTGTGTACTGTCCAGTCTTTAGTTAATAGATACTGCCATTATCTTTGCATTATCAACAACAACAACAACAACAACAAAATGCTCGCTATAACAAACTCACTTTGTGTTGATCCCAAAAAAAACTTAGCATTTTGTCTAACAACTTTAAAAAACAAAACTAAATTTATGTGTCCTACGAATAATGAAAAGTTTTTAACTCGAAAATGTAACTTTTGATTTTTGATTTTTATCCACACATAAACCTAGTTTTTGATTTTGATTTTTGTCCTATATAAAGATACTGTCTATGTATGTGTATTAATTGTGCCGATGCTCAGTTGTATTTTTTGTTTTGCATTTATAATATTAACCCAATGAAGTGACATTTAACATTTAACCCCAGAAATGCCAAACTATCCCCTCTTCTTACGATAGAAATCTAAACAGTCGTCTTCTGTTATGTTTTTAATTATTTTCTAAATGTTGTATAATACAAACGTTCGTAAAGGAAAACAATGCGTTTTTATTCATCTCCAATTAGTTTGCAAATATTTTCTAACAAAAAAACCAAAACATAAAATGAATAAAAAAAAAGAAAATTGAAGCGTTTTACATGCCCGTAGGTAGGTATGTTTATTGTTCCCTAAAAACGAAAATGAAGCAACAAAAACTAAAATTGAATATTATACAAAATAAAAGTAAAAAAAATCATTATGCATTTTGTGTTTACGTAGGCACTTTTTGAATTACGAACAAAACATTTAATAATGCACGTTGAGCATTTTTGTTTGATGTGATTTACGAATTTGTAATCCTATTTATGGGAATTCATTTAAGTGGCATGTTAAGTAAACTAAAGAAACTTCTTTTAATAAATGCCACTTAAATTAATACCTTCCCTAGAACCATGCATCATAAAAATCCTTAATTTTTTTCAATATAATTCTCCTCTTAAGGGAGTGAAAAGACGTAAGCCTAGAAGCAACGAAAAACCAATCGAACATTGTTCCCAATTTTAGTGATATGCAAATATTCGAATAACCAACAGCCAAAATTTAATTTACTCTCAAAATTAGCAGCTAAGTGAGAACTGAACAGCAACAACAACAAATAATCATTAAAAAAAAAACAAAACAGAAAAAAAAAAACCAAAACTAAACCCAATCAAAATGACAACCAAACCAAACTTAAAGTGTGTTTTGAGTATGAACATTGTTTTGTGTACATTTTTGCAGCGTCTTCCAGCAGTACTAAGCAGGATCGGAGTAATTCTTGCAAGTCCTTTGGTAAGCTATCAACCACAACTCATGCACCAACCGCCCAACCCGCCCCAGCCCCCTAAGAAAACAGAGAACTTTAACAACAAAAACCATTTAGCAGCAAAAGAAAAACTTAACACACACACACATAAAATCCAACTCACAGACACTGTTACACCTTTCCACCCCCCCCTTAAGAGTCCCTTTTCTCCTTTCCCAAACTGCGAAAAGTAAACCTAAGAAAAAAATGGCATGCGAATTTCGCTTTTGATGAAATGCATTGAAAAAGTTTTGTTTCGATTTTGGTTTTTGTGTTTCCCAAAAAAAAAAAAATAGAAAACAAAAAACAAATTTGATTTTCGAGGCAAATGGAAAACCAACTTAAAAAATAAAAAATAAATATAATTCAAATTTAAATAATTACCTAGTAGATTCGCACTCGCTTTCAATGTATATAACTCCATATTAACTACAATGATTATTTTCATTATTTATTTATTTATGTTTTTTGCGTTCTTAATCCAACCATAAAAACAAACTCGTTATGTACTTAAACACCTGACAGCCAACACTGCGCATACTTGATATGCCTAGCCTAATTGTTTTTGAAGAAACTAATTTCCACACAACCAACAGCAGAAACGACAACTACAACCACAACATATACAAGCTCATGATGAAAAATAAATGCAAAAAAAAAGAGAATATATATATCGTATATATATATAGCAATAAAACACACTTTAAGGTCACTTACAATTGGGAAAAATGTTACGAGCGAAAAATTGTAACAAAAAAGCGAAAAAAAAAATTGATTACCAATTAATATGGAAAAAAATTCTTTCTCTTCTTACATATATGCAAAAAAAAAAAATGATATCGGAAATGCTATAAATCAATTCTGTTCTTTGCCCCTGATTTACATTATTTGGTTTTTAAAATTTTGGTAAATACAAAATTTTGCCTTGAAAAAATTTTTATAATTTAAGTTCTTTATTGATTTACTGACACGCCCTCTGCCACTAATAAAACAAATATATTTCTTTGGTTTACTGAAACTTAAAAAAAAGAAAAAAAAAAAAACAAAAACGAAATATGGTGCCGGAAATGTTGGCCAATATTATTTATGGTACTAACAAGTAGTAGCTGAAGCATTTTGTGTTTTTGGTTATTTTGTGTTGTCTGTGTTTTGTGCTTGAAAGCTTTTCGTTTAGGCGTTTAGTTTTAGTGCATTTTGTGTGCATCTGTATGTTTCTCAATAAATATATAAAAACACTAATGCAATCTATGACTGCGACACAAGAAACATGGGTTAATGGGGTATATATTTAGTATGTTAAAAAGTTGGAAGAAAAACTACCATTCAGAGCATACTTTTGGGCGATGCTTAAAAAAAGGTTTTAATACATTTTCCCACACTAAACATTTTGATTTTTAATACATTTGGGTTAGTTGCGGAAAATGAAATGAAAAGAAAATTTAAATATTTAAGAGTACAATTTTCTTAAACTTTCTGCAAAATCTACAAATCAAGTTTCCCTCCAAAAAAAAACAAGAACAGAAATAAAAAATTAATACAAAAACAAGTCTCCACTAATTTGTGGCCTTAACTTAACCAACTTAACTAACCACTCTTAACAACAACTGCTTGAGTCCAAGAAACCTCTCTTGTTAATGCCCATCAATTAACCCAATTACTTTTGTGGCCTTCGATTATCCTGACTAAAACCACCTGTGTGTCTCTCTCCGAAAATTGTCTTTCTCTTCCTCGCGTTCAAAACCAAAAAAAGATAAAATCACTAAAAAGAAACCAAAGCCCAGAACCAATCCAAAACAGAAAACAAAATAAAAAAAACATAGAAAACATAGAAAACAAAAACCAAACTATCCCCATTCAACCAACCTGCTCTGTAGGAAATAATCGAACGCGAATTTCATGCCGCTTTTGTCCTCCGAAAAGGCAAGCGCCGCCGCCACACCGGCCATGTCGATGATGGGCGGTGCCACACCCATGTCCGTTGGCACCCCAGCCCCATCCTCTTCGGTGGTCACACCAGGCACCCCAAGGACCACCGATCCGGAAGAGTTATTCGGTGGCGGTATGCGTTGGCAGGAGGCTCATGGCGGTATCATTGGTGCTGCTGTCCAGAATTTACGGGCACGCTCTATCAAAAGGAAGGCAGCCCGAAGTCCATCTACTTCCATATCACCACATCCTAGTGGTCAACCGACTGAGCATATATACGAAGAACCAAGTGTAACTACAACTGCGGTTACAAGTACCAAAGTGAAGTTCAAGGACGAGCTAAAGGAGGAGCAGGAGGAAGCAGAGACCACGGCCAAGCTACGCCGATCGGTGGCCACCAGTACACCAGCTTTGGTTGTAAGGATCGAGGCTGAGACCGATCAGGAAGCGGAAACAAAACCCGCTCAGGATATGAAAATGACAGAACGTCAGTTATCCTTGCCATTGAAACCACCGCGCCGGAAGGCTTCACGCTCCAATTCACCAGCCTCGGTTTATGGCGATGCCTTCGAAAATGTGGAAACTACAGTGAGTAAAGGACACACCAGAAATGCTCCCGAAACTAACCGAAAAAAAAATCCAAACATTCGTTCTTATTGTTGTTGTTGTTTGCACAACCGACTAATAACTAACCATAACAATTGTAAAAAAAAAAATATCAGAAAAAAAAACAGTCAAGGAGCCAAAGAAAAACGTCAGCAAGAAGAAAGTTTTGGCCAAAAGGCGAAATTCGAAGTTCGTCCCTGGCCGTGTGCTAACCTCACTAAACTTGATTGCCTGCGGTTATTTTGATTGCCATTTGCCATTTGCAAAAACACCCACAAAATGCACCCAAAAACACCCTCAAACACGCACACTGAAAGTTGGATTTCTCTTCTTTCTGTTTTTTTCTTTTCTTTGCCTCCCAAAACTTGCAATTGAACTTTAAATGAAAGACTAACAAGAGTAACTGCATTAGACATGAGGAATTGGTAGCCGAAAGGAAACGAAAGGTTAACCAATTAGGGCCAAAAGCCAAGCAAAGATGTCTGGCCAAATCGAATGCCAGCAATGAAGATGTTTTCTCAGCTAATTATCCTTGAACAAATGATTTTGTCATTAGGTCATAGAAGAAAGATACTTGGGATTTAATGGGTTAATGGGTTTCTGGTTCATAAACTGGTAACACATAATCTTTGGACAACTTTCAAATATCAGGAAAACTAAAAACCCAACTTAAACTCAACTCAAGATTCGCCACCAATTTCCAGCGCATAAATCACTAAACTTCCTCTCCAAAGTCCTCAAGTAAATCAAACTTATCGGAATGGAAGAAGAGGGGGACCGCCATCAAGATTGGAATGCAAAACGGCATAAACCAAATAAAACCAACTCAAGTGGGCGTGATGAAAGACCGTGGTACGAAATGGAAAACTCAAAAACTATTTTATGGGAATTTGTGAAACGCTGACAACGACTTCCGACATAACCAGAACACCAGAAAGGATACGGAAAACCATGAAGAAGTTACACCAGGCATAGCCTGAACTGACCCCGCCTGGACAGAGGGAAACGAAACGGAAAACCGTCAACAAGAAAGGTGGCTGGGAAAATGTTTTTCCACCATTAGCATGTAAATTAAAAATGGTGTACGCGTTTAAATTGGCGCCCGTGCAGGTGGACAGCGGGATGACTGGGCCGCAACAGGACAACATAATTATTCATGAGCGCCCCAAAGTGGAAAATGCCGTAATGAGCCCGAGAGCACCGGAAAAACCAACGACACGAGAGTGGAGCACAAACAAATGGCATGGTGAAGGATGCGGCCGAACAGGCAAAAGAAAACGAAAACGAAAACGAAAACCAAAATGAAAATGAAAATGAAAATAAAAACAGGAAAACGCGTCGTTACACATGCATCATAATAGCCGAGAAAATTTCTCGAAAGGATGCGCAAGGATTTCTTTTACTTTTCAGTGTGAAAAGTTCGAGCCTGGCCTGGCATTTTAAAGCAGCACTTTCCCCCTTCGGGAAAGCCTTAAGCAAATACGAAAAGTTGAAAAAGCCGAACAAAATTCACCAGGGAAGATACTTTCACTCGTCCAATGCTAATTGCACTGGGCATATAAATCTTCGCCCTGTCATACATTTTTCAAGTGCTTCTCAGAGTATTGTGTTAATAAAATTAAATTGCCAAATAAGCATCTTGGGGAGGACTTCAGGAGATGTTTATGAGAGCTGTTATTGGCTGAGAAATCAAAGAATATTTTACCCTAAATGCTTTTAGCTAATAAGTAAGATCATCAATTTCTTGTTTCCACTCTCTCTGAAAATATTTATATTGTATATAAACTAGAGAATATTATTCTAGTAATATTAACTTTTTGTTTCTAAAGATCTAAAACCCGAAATGATCATTAAGAATGCCTTGTTGATTTTGAGGAAACTTAACTGGAGGCAAAGTTCTGGCACAGCCAGCGTGTTTAATTTTGGTCAGCCACGTTATCCGGCTCTCTGGCTGCTTAAACACACCCGCATAATACATCTTACCTAAGTAACTGTTTCCTCCCAATCCCAGCCTGTTTTTCCATTTTCCCCATTTTCCTGGCTTTGCCATTTTCGCCAACCACCTTTGGCTGCATTTGTGCACTCGGCAAATGGCCGCCAGCTGCTGGCAAACAAAGACAACTCAGATGCCAGACCCAAAAAGGCTCCCCCCCCCATCTCTACCTTAGCCCCTACCCTTGATTTTTCGCACCCCACCCCTTTCGTTTCGTTGGCGTTTTCAGCTGCAACTTGGCTAGTACGTGCCACTGTAGCTGCAATAAATTGTAGCATACTTACCAGCGGACGCAGTTAATTTCTTAGCCTGCCACCTACGACCCATTGGACTATTTATATACCGCTCACAAATTTTTGATGTTAATTAAGCCAGCTATTACCCTGAAACAGTGCAAGTAAACAGCCAGCTGTTATGCAATTTAGTAGGTTAAATTAATTATGAGTCCAACCTTGTATTGTAAGATATAAATATTACACAACTTTAGTTCATTTTGTTCAATGTGTGTGTGTGCTTAAAGCCTGTAAATAGTATACCAGTTAAGAAGCTATGAGCTTTGTAGTATTTTTCAAACCAACACCTCTGCCTAGTACTAACCAATACAGAGCACGCTTTAACCCACACAATGAAATGCACAAAACTCAACAGAACTATTAACCCAACTTACCTATGTATGTGTTCATTGAAAATCATTCAAATTAAACGTTAAATTTGTAATCATAAACAATAAAACAGGCATTCCACATCACACTGAAACTACAGTAAACAAACATTACAGTAAACATTATAAAACAGAAACTTTAAAATTTCTTTAAACCCCCAAACAGTGATTTGTTTCTCTTTAAAATTTCATTTCTCATCACATTAGTGCCAATTTTAATTTCCAATCACTTAAAAATGAAAACACAGCAAAATTCTCATGCCATTCTCATACAAAATTCTATACAAAACTGCTAAAGCTTAAACAAAAATAACAAAAACAAATACAAAAACTCTGAACGTGCAACAAAAAAACAAACAAAAAACTTAGTAAAAAATAATTTAAAAAAAAAAATTCAATTAAATTGCGCTGTGGTTATAAATAGCAAGCCATGTACTAAAATCGAATTTGATCTTTTTTGCTTTTTCAACTGCTGCCCCACTGACTTAAAAACAATCAAATAACTAATAACATTTAAAGCCCGTAAGTATGCAATATTAACAATATTAATTATTTCTCTTTAAATCAATTTCCGTAGTTAAATTTGTAAAAGCATTTGAAGCGCTTTTTGTAATAAATTCCGTAGTGTTTAAATTTACATTTTTCTTGTTCTATAAACTGTTAATAAAACAACAACAACTACTTTTTTTCTACCTTTTTTCATATATTTTTAAACATATTTATACGCTTTTTGCTGGGTTTTTGCAAAAACGATATAATGCAAACAACCAAAAACTGCAACTGCCAAAAACCAAACTTTTACGTTCCTTTTTTCGTATGCGTATGTGTGTGTATATGTATGTACTCGTATGTATGTGTAAATAACTCCTTTTTCACAAATTGTATTTGACTTGTAAAATTGCCAACAACCACCAACCAACATCATGGCCAAAATGAAAATTAACATATAAGTTTTTTAAATTTACCGCCGTCTATCAGGGCGAGAAGCGACGAGACGCCGGTGCACCGAACGAAATTGTGGCATGCACCACCTGCGGCGGCAGCAACAGTCCGTGCACCCATTCAGCTAATAATGGATGTGCCACGGAGGTGAGAATGTCCTTTTGTCAAATTTTGTTTGAAAATAAGTTTCTCTAATGAAAAAATGATATTAGTTTAAGATTTAGTAAAGAAGAAACTTATTTTCTAACCACTTTTAGATAACTCTTAACCACTTCTTCTTTACCTTTCAGACCTGCTTCGTTCAAGTGCGTAAAAAAGAGCCACCCCATCCGATTCGCGTGGCCAAGACGATCGATGTCATCGCTAGAATTACATTTCCAACTGCTTATGCCATTTTTCTGATATTCTTCTTTGTACACTATAAAGGATTTTCGTAAAATTAAGCAAAAAAAAAACACTAAAAATAATGCATAAACATTAATAGATAAATTGAACACGCTAAATTTGCCGAAGCAAAGCCAGAAGAGCAGACTGAAAAGTCGGAGAGGAGGCGCATTATTCGTAAAGTAATTTGTAGAAGAAAATGAAGAAAATCGTTTGCTAAGTTCTAGGGCCTTGCAAAGTCATCTAATATTAATGTAACAAAGGGAAACACAAAGTACATCTAATTACTGATTAACGATTATTTCAAATGGCAAAAAAATAATGACAAAAACAAAACCAGTGATAAAAACGTCAAAAATGAACAAAAATTAGTTTAAACTGAGTTGTTAAAGGGGAATAAAAAAAAAAAAAGAAAAGCAAAAAATAAGTTGTTAATAATTAATATTTACGAAAGTTAAATTTATGCAAATGAGCAAACATACGAAAGAAACATTTTCGACTGCCTTTTTTAAAAATAGTAGAAAGAAAATAAAAAAACAGAAACAAAACAAAAAACAGAAACAAAAAACTTTAAATTAAATTTGCAAATTTTTGCATATGCTCGAAAATGCATTAGTTAATTATACCAAACAAAAGAAACACTGTCTAGCAATTGTAATATATAATATTTAAACAATTTATTAAGCAAAACAAATTAATGCTGAAAGTACCAAAAAACGAAAACCAGAACACGATCCAAGAAGATAAAAAGACCTAGCCTATAATTATAAAAAAAAGAACATTAAAAATATGAAACGCAAACCAAACAGCTTTAAGGCTTTACCTATCTGAGTAGTCGAAATGAAAATGATGCAAAATCTGTTTATATACACATATACATAGATGTTATATATATTTACAAAACAGCTCTAGTCAAATATTATGAAATTGAAACCCAGTTTTGATGAGTTCAATCGCCTCCGCATATGTCAAAGAGTAAACAAACAGGACAGACACACACACACACAAATTGTTAATCAATCACTGTATATAATATTTATTTAAATGTTTATTTCAATTCTGTTTATTTTATTTTCAATAAATGTTCGATTTATAAAGCAGAAACTGATTAATTATGGCATTACCAAGAAAAAAAATGAAACCGCCGCAAAGTAGACCACAGTAAATGCTTTCCTAAACCAAAAATCAGGTGAAATGAAAATATTTTTTGGTTTTATATTTTTCGTTTTACTCCATCAACGCCTTTTTAAGTAGCAGCAGGAATTGCCTAAAAAAAA